TTTTTTTTTTGAGACAGAGTTTCACTATGTCACCCTTGGTAGAGTGTGGTGGCATTACAGCTCACAGCAACCTCAAACTCTTGGGCTTAAGCGATTCTCTTGCCTTAGCCTCCCAAGTAGCCTCCCAAGTAGGCAAGTTGTAAAGATTCTCAACTTTTCTCCATAGATAACATCACTTTTGGAACCCTACAGGTAGCTTCTAAGATATCTTCCAGGCCCCACATTTCAATGGATTGGCTGACCTGCCCAGACCAGTGGTCCACATCAAGAAACCAACTCAACCGTAATTATGACCCTGGAGCTGAAGTAAAACAAGATGATTTCCAGACGTTTATAATTTTGTCCCAAACTTAGCCAATTAGCAAAGCTGTCAACTGTCTTTAAACACCCTGCCTTCCCAATCCATGGGGAGATATATTTGAGACACTTCTCACCTCTCCCTGCTCAGCACTTAGCAGAATAAACTCTTTTTCTGCTGCTGTCCCTGTCTTCCTTTGGGGTAGTGGGCAGATGAACCTGGTTGAGGGGGCGATACCAACTACTTGGGAGCTGAAGTGGGAGGAGCATTTGACCCACATTTGATATATGTGGGTCATTACTAAAGTTTTGAGATCCACAAAAATTAAAAAACATAAAATCTCCACAGTCAGAAACAAACGAAGCCCTCCCAGCAACATTGATAAGCTGAACAAGTTGAAACTTGCATGTGTGAATCAGAAATGACAATGTCAATTGTGTTTCTTGGAAGTGAAATAATGAACTGTACCACAGCCTGTCTCAAAACTTTCATAGTGACCTTCCCATAGTAAGGCCTGTCTCTAAAAAAAACCCAAAAACCTGCTTTTCTTCACTGTCACAGAGAAGAATGTCTTAGAGGAATGTCCCTCAACACTACCAACAATCAAGATTCTCCTAATAGCTGGTCCAGGAAAATGAAATTCACACGAAGAGCAGTAATATTAAAAAGTATAACTTCAAATTTATACAGACTACCATAGGAAAAATCCTTAAGAGGAGCCATAGTATTTCCCTGAAATGAAGAAAATGTTGCCAAAAGCAGGAGAAAATTGCATGCCAATCTTCCAACATATAATAAGAAAAAAACCTTCAAAGAAGTAGTTGCAACTATAAAGAGAAATCACAAAGCAAAAATTTAAGAACTCAGGATAGAAATAGCCAGACAAGAGGAAGAGATGACCAGAATGCAGGTGGACATTATAGACTGGTAGAAGTTAGCAAAGAAATAGAAAAGACAAACCCATTTCAGAAATGAATTTTAAATTAAAAGGAATTACGAGAGAGTAGGCATAGAAAAGTAGTAAGGCAGATAGAGGTTAGAAAAACATGACATGGAAATAAAGGGATAAAACAGGTTAGATTTCAAGAAAAATTGGGAAAGACTTTGAAATGGACCAAAAGAATATTGGGTATCTTCAGTGGAAAACTATGCTTTGGAGCATGGTGGAAAAGTAAGCATCCCCTGTAGATTACCCACTTCTGGGTTTGCACCTTTCATTGTCTTTGGACTATTTAAACTATTACTTTATTTATATTACTATGCTTAAGTTACATGAGAAAAAGATGACCAAGCAATTCTGCCCATTTCAGAAAAGTTTCCAATCAACACCAATTATGTGGTGACAAATGACTAGGAGTGGTGACATCTTTGGGTCAAGACTGATAAGGAAGAATGGGCTCTGGTGCTACGGTTCATCTCCAACAAGAATATGGCACACTGGCCACAAGCCACGCTAACACTGAGACTTTAGCGCTGGGCACAGATTCGGATCTCTTCTCTGAAGCTAGCAGATCAAGTGAAATAACTGGGTTTAAAAAAAAAAAGTTTTAAAATGAAGCCCAAGTTTAAAAACCATGCTTTTGACATATTTTCCTTTCAGAATTGACATAAAACACTTTTTCACTCTAATAGCCCAAGTATTTTTCCTTACATAGCCCACCACATAGCTGCAGACTCTTCTGCTTCAAGATGTAAACATAGGGGAAAAAATTAATGGCATCTGCATAATATTCTCTCCACACTCTGTGGTTGGATGGGAAATACAAAATTAAAAAAAAAAAAAGAAAAAAAGAAAGGTTCCATCTTAGATTCTCACAACCTCTTGTTCCGCAGTTCATGAATCTGACTCTGATGCTAAGGTGACAGTGTATGTAAGTAGATTTTTGTTTTCAGTGAAGGAGACCTGGGAAAAGATGGATTTCTCTTTTTTTCTTCAAGAGTTATCAGATGGTTCATGCTCCTCAAAGCCCTCACTCTCCCGAACTAGAGCACGTTCCAGGATCTCACGGCCTTCCTTATAATGCTGGCTGTCTTCGGTGGCAAACTCATCCATCCCAGTTTGCTATTGTAGTTTTTGCAGCTCACATCTCGAACCAGATGAGCATGTGGTGGCCACTGAGCATGACCCGATCTTGAACTTCACTGTATTGCAGGTTAACTACCTTGTTAAAAAGAAATGCTCTGCCAGTGGCGCCTGTGAACCGAGTGGAGATGAGTTCTGAGCGGTTTGTCAGGACTGTATCACAGTTTGCACAAGAAAACAGTCGGGTACCACCAATATGTTCAAGGAAAATTCTGCCCATTTTTATAACTGAAGTTCTAAAAACCCTGAGCTGTCATGAGATCTGTGGCCGCCAGCAGCTCTTCGCTCCTCAGCTGGGATGAAGCATTATTAATCTTTGGGCTGTTTTATAACTGTAAATTGTAGATAGATACCCAATAGCAATGTAAAAGATTTTTATCTGTGAATGTGCAAGTTAAATCTTTCTGGTGGAAGGAACACTTGATCTCCCATTGTGGTGGGCAGAATAATGGACCATCAAAGAAGTTCCCATCTTAATCCCTGTAACCTGTGGATATCTTTACAAGGCAAAAGGGACTTTGCATATGAATTTAGTTAAAGATCTTGGACAGGCTTAATGGCTTATGTCAGTAATCCTAGCACACTGGGAGGCTGAGGTGAGAGGATCCCTTGAGGTCAGGAGTTGAAGACCAGCCTAAGCAAGAACAAGACTCCTCTCTACTAAAAATAGAAAAATTAGCTAGGCATTGTGGTAGGTGCTTGTAGGCCTGGCTACTTGGGATGCTGAAACAGGAGGATCACTTGAACCCAGGAGTTTGAGGTTGCTGTGAGCTAGGCTGAGGCCACGGTACTCTTGCCCGGGTGACAAAGTGACAAATTTGCTATTTTAAGCCACTAAATTTGTGGTAATTTGTTACAGCAGCAATAGGAAACTAATTCCCATGTTAAAAGAAAGAAAGAAAGAAAGAAAGAAAGAAAGAAAGAAAGAAAGAAAGAAAGAAATAAATCTTTTTTTTTCTTTTTTTTGAGACAGAGTCTTACATTGTCTATCTCGGTAGAATGCAGTGGCATAGCTCACAGCAACTTCAAACACTTGGGTTCTATCAATTCTCCTGCCTCAGCCTTCCAAGTAGCTAGGACTATAGGTACCTATCAGAATGCCCAGCTATTTTTAGAGAAGAGGTCTCACTCTGACTCAGGTTGGTCTTGAAATTGTGAGCTCAGGCAATCCACCTGCCTCAGCCTCCCAGAGTGCTAAGGATTACAGGCTTGAGCCACTGTGCTTGGCCAAAATTAAAAAGATTTTTGCCATCAACAAAGTAAAACAACAATATGGGAGAAAATATTTATAAATCACGTATCTGGCAAGGGATTAATATCTAGAACATATACGAAACTCCTGAAACTCAATAACAAAGAAACTAACAGCCCCATTAAAAATGTACAAAGGTCTTATATAGATATTTTTCTAAAGAAAATATATAAATGCCAACAACACATAAAAAGATTCTCAAAATCACTAATCACGAGGGAAATGCAAATTGAAGCCACAGTGAGATGTCAGCTTATGTCCATTAGGGTGGTTATCATAAAAAAACAAGTGTTGGTGTGGATGTGGAACAATTGAGACAGTTGTACCTTGCTGGTGGGGAGGTAAAATGGTATAACCACTACAGCAAACAGCATATAGGTACCTCAAAAAATTAAACATGGAAGTACCAGCTGATCTAGCAATTCTACTCCTTAGTATATACAGACAAAATTTTTGATTTTTTTCTTTTTGAGATAGAGTCTCACTCTGTTGCCCCAGGCTAAATTGCATGGTATCATAGCTCACAGAAACCTCAAACTCCTGGCCTCAAGCAATCCTTTTGCTTCAGCCTCCCAAGTAGCTGAGATTGCAGGTGTCTGCCATGATACCTGGCTAGTTTTCCTATTTTTTAGATAAGAAAGGGTCTTGCTCTTGCTCAGTTTGGTCTTGAACTCCTTAGTCAAGCAATCTACTGGCCTCAGCCTCCCAGAGTGTTAGGATTACAGGTGTGAGCCACCATGTCCAGCCTCAGACAAAAAAATTAAAATCAGAGCAGCTCCTGTGACTCAGC